ATATATTTGACTAATTTTATTCTAATTCTAATTATCGCTATGAAAATATCCCAATTACTTCCATCAATCCATAAAGTGTCTTCCAACATTTGCATCTGTCTTCCGTAGAAGAAAGACTCCCCCTTAGTCATGCAGAAAAAATAGACACTATGGCCCACTTATGTTCTCGTAATTTAAAGATAAATAGATATACATTTTATAACACATCAAAATTTGATTAAATATGCAATCTTTTTTATTGATACTGACACCTTTATTGACGTTGGTTTTTTTTTTTTCCTTTGAAAAAATTCAATTGAAGAACTATGAAAAATATTTAATTATATCCATAAATCTTAGATATATAAGTTTGTCGTATGGAACAAAGCAATGAATGGACTACCTCATTAGTAGAGCTTGTGCAAAAGTAAGTTCATCATATAACACTTTTGATCATCATTACCTCAAATATTTTAGATGTTAAAACAATATGCTCCTTAAAGGAAATTTGTATTTATTCAATGTTTGAACTTTTACCTCCTGATAGGGTAATGGGAAAAAATATTCAAGTTTCATTAAAGAAAAAAAAGCCGGACTCAAGTTCAGTTAATTAATATAGAATACGGTAGAAAAATAAGACAAAAATTTGAACGAATTTGTTGATAGATATAAGTTCATATTTCATTGGAAATTGGGTATCTTGCGCAGGCCCAAGACCATTTTTAATGAGTCTTCTTGCATATCAAGTTGACGAACAACAAAGTTGGTCATATAAAAACACCATCATTATGGGATCTACATGCGGCAGAAAAATTGCGCAAATCCACTGAAATATTGTATGCCACAATTGAATTTTAATTAATCTCTATTTTGTGATTACGCGAATCCACTGATATATGGTATGCCATAATTAAATATTTGCGATAAGAAATGAATGGTTATTTTAGGATCACTGGCACATTTTTTATCCATTTTAAATAACATCTTTTTTGGGAGCTAGGATAAATTCATTTCACTTACAACAATTAGTAACTTAGTAAGTACAATAATATTAATGTCAGACCCACAAGTATAAATGATTCATTTGCCTATTCAAGTAATTTACGCAAAGGTATTTCGCTAACATATTATGTAACTTCTTTTTACGAACCTAAAAGAGGGCTTTTGACACTATAAAGGAAGATCGCAACAACCATGTCATCCAAGCTTGCAGCTGTGTGATCCACCTCAGCTCACTTTACCACCTCGGCCTCACATCATCTCCAACAAACTGTCGTCTTGGCCCACGTGACAGCTCAACATTCATGATCACATGCCGCCAAAACTGAACCAACAACTTATGTGGATGAAGACAATAATGGTAGCTCACCTTGTGTACTATTCACCTATTAGGTTTTTGAATTTCAAATTATTTACCCTAAGAAGAATGTGAGGTGTCCATATTCTAGATGGATCTATTTCTGTACACATAAAGGTTGTAACCTCATTTGAAAAATCAATTAATAAAGAAAGAACTTATCTCTATTTGTTTCCAAATTCCTTACTTAGTTCATTAATTTCAGCATCATGAAGATATCCAAGTTCATGGTATCAGAGCACCGGGCAAGCCTAGTTGCTCTGAGATCCCCTTTTCTTTCTTCTATTCACCACGTCTACTACCTTGAACCATTGTCATTTCACCTCAGACCTAACACAACTCGTTTTTTCACCATAGTCAGCTCATCCCTATTAAGCTTAATGAAAATAACTACTTGATATGGCAACAACAAGTTCTAGCAGCCATAGAGGATATGGGTTATAACTCTACATCTAAAAAAATCAAAGAATCCCAGAAGAGTAACTTCAGTTGGACTTCAAAAGAGCACTCCACCATGAATCTTGAATTCTTGCTTTGCATGAGACAAGACCGGATCTTTGTTTCTTGGCTACTCTCATTCTTTTCTGAGCCCTTGCTTGTCACCACTGATAGTTTAACCACCTCTAGAGAGATCTGGGAAAGTCTTGAGATAGAATTCTCAAGCCAATCTAAGGTTAGAATTCTGCAGCACAAACTGAAATTGCAGATACTCAAGATGGGCAGCTTAAATATGAGACACTACTTGAATCAAATCAGGACTTGTTGTGACACATTACCAACTGTTGGTCAAAGAGTGAGTGATGAGGAGAAAGTGATGCACATACTAGCTGGTTTAGGATAAGAATATGGTCCGGTCATGGTCTTAATAATGTCTAAGCTTGAGACTCGTGTTTTGAGAGTTGAGCACTCCTTGGTACTAAGCTTTGAAGCCAGTCTTGAGGCAGCAAATCAAGAGGAAAATCAGTTTAGCCTTAGTGGCTGTTGTTATAATTATTACAGGAGTTAAATCGAAAGATTCAATCCCCGAGTCATATCTCAAGGAAGGTTAGCCGGATTATTTAGTATGTTTACTCAATCAAAAAAAAAAAAATAATAATAATTTCTTAAACATTCTAAATCAAGTTTTGGAAAGGATAAATTACTGACTAAGAAATAACATAAAAATAAAGCAAGTAAATAGTAACAATTATTAAAGTGCTAGGGAATCGGGAATAAACGTTTTGAATAGTAATGCAATTATCGGCAAGTGATCATTCAGTTAAAGAATTCAATTCACCTATACGTTTCGAGGTTCATCCTCAATACCTTTCGGAACAAGAGAATAAATATAAACGGTAAATTAACGAATTGTTTAACACATAGATAATACCTTTCGGAACAAGTCTATTTTGTATGAGTCTTAATCGATTAACTCTTCCCCTTTTGGTTCAAAGAGTCGATTAGAATAAACTAGAAAAGATTATTAGTCGTCTAGTTTATTCGGATCTTGATCGTCACAATGGAATACATAATATTCAAATATGAAAACAAGTTTAACATTGAAGTGTCACTCTTCAATACTTAGAAATCAATTAGCAAGGTTGAAATGTCACTTTTCAACAATATTTATTCCAACATGAAAATAAAAAACCGAATTAAGAATTAACTCACACAAAGTGAACAATTAACGAGCACAATAATCACATATTAATTCAAAGGTTCATCCCTTATCCCTAGCAAGTGATTTAGTTACTCATATAAAAAATAACCTCAACATAAACTTTATTGCAAATAATCATTAAAAGAGAACTTACAAGAAATCCAAGTTGAGGATGAAAATCGAACTTACAAGCCAAACCACATGAAGTTTTGTACTCACAAATCAAATCAACAACAAACTAAAATTACAAACATTTAAGAGAATAAATGAATATGTTCATAACATGGTGAAGAAGTGAATGCCTTAAGATGGTAATGAAGGTGGTTTATATAGGGTGAAAAAATCCTTAATTTCCTAACTTATGCATACTTTTTCTTCACCCATTCATCAACCATGCATAATTTTCTTCACCCATTCATCAACCATGCATAATTTTCTTCGCTCATCCATCAAACATACCTAAAAGACCAATTTTCCCATCCATAATGATTGTTAGCTCAAAATAGTCAATTAGGCTTGGAAAAATCCGAGAAAATGGGTCCAAGGCTCGTTGGGCGCGGCATGGCGCGCGCAGATGCGCACAGCGCGCAGGCGCGCGCGTGTGCCGACAGCAGTGCGCGTGTTTACATTTTTGGCTCGTTCGGGCTCGTTTGAAATCGAAATTGAGTTCTGTTTTTTCCTACGTAGCTGACGAACTCTTCTATACAATTATGCTTGCAAACCAAACTTTTATCCAGAATACAAATTTTGTGAAATTTCCAACCTTTAAAGGGTCGGTAACTTGCTCGACTTTATGTTTAATCCCCGTTCGGATTCATCCAAACTCGAAATCGAATTACGCTTTTTCTCACATGTCGCCAACTAGCCTCTCTAGTTAGTTGTTCTTGAATGGTCAATTTCCGAACTTAATCCAATCCTCACGGGGTTTTCGACCTGCACACCAAAAACAAGATGAAAACGAGAAAAATACACGAAAAACACATAAAAAATCAAAATAGATCAAAAAAATAATAAATCATAAAAATGAATAAAAACCAGTAGAAAGTCCTAAAATGAGGGTAAAAATAAGAACAAAACAATAACTAAAAATACAACAAAAATAATACAAACAACTCCCCCACACTTAAACTTTTGTTCGTCCCGAACAAAGAAAATATATGACGCGACATGGATACGGTTTCAAATAAGACAAGCCTCTGAATGTCCAACTCAATCAGGTAGAATTCCAACGACCGCATAACCATATGCCTCAAATATCAACTTGGCCCTGAAATGACAAACTCTCAACACATAAACGAACATATAAGCCTCACTCATTTTCTTACATAAATATGAAATGGGTTCTCTCAAAATTGGTCGATATTCATGTTTCAATATATGCTTGCTAATCGTCTAAATTACTTGAAAACAATCAAAGCTCAAAACTTGCGAATCAAGAGGATTTTACGGTTTGTAATGTGACTTAGGTAAAGGTAAGGATATATATGGATAAGAAGCTCAAATAAACAATATAAATTCTCGAGTAATAGACTACTCAATATCCGCTACTCATCTGAAATCAACAAGATAACACACATACTTTTCAACAATTCCACATATATGCTCCAATTTGAGTTGCAATTTTATTACTTGACTTACTACATATCATTTTTTTATTTTTATTTAGAGAGTTACTATTTCCGAACAAGCTCAAATTGTAAGGACAATATTTCCTAGGTTTAAACATTGGAGGTCATCCAAGTGTCCTAAAGTGGTTTTTCCAATACTCATTACTCGTTAAAATGAGTAACATGTAAGCGGAATAGAACCCGATCAATTCATCTTGCGAGCTCTCTTTTGTTTTTTTTGTTTTTATTGTCAAGCATAAAATGCAACTCAATTTCAACCTCAATACCGGTTTTGTATTTACCAGTCAATACATCGATCAATCAACAACATACATTAAATGTACGGGTGACAAGAAACGGCTCAAGGTTCACACGGGGTACTAGGGAATTAACGTTTAGGATCAAAGAACAAGATAAGAATGGGTTAACAAACGAAATGCCTCAATCATTTTCGCACTTTCAAACTCTAACCTATTCCTTTCAAATAGACTCAAGGCAAGTTCTAGTCATTCATGAATATGACCAATATCTCACAAGAAATAAGAGTAAGGATCAAAACCTCACAAGGTAAATAAATGTCACTTAATGCAATCAATCAATTATCGAGGCAATGACCAATACGCCCATCATCTCAACATCCCAATTTCATCATACATTTATCAACAAATCATATAATTCACCAATATCACATGCTAAACAACACAACAACCTAGTTACTAGACCGGCCCACCAAATAAGCATGCAAAATCAAAGAAAACTTCCCCACACTTGAAATGAGGCAATGAACTCATTGCTTCAACACATAACCGGAAAGCCAAATAACAAGACCTAACAATTTTACATTATGAAATAACACTAATATCCAACAGAAAAACATAAAATCCAAAAGAAAAAAACACTTAACAAGACCCAAAAATATATATATATATATATATATATGCAAACCGAAGATGCGTCGAGTCGAGTAAGCATTCTATGTGAGTCACTTTCTCATGCTCTTCTTTGTTCATTGTAATTCCCGTGCTCAAGCTCTCGAACTCATTCTTGCCATTTTTTTTTTTTAAAAATATGTACAAAGATGCTCGGTTTTAATTCCGAGAGCTCGGCATTGATTTTTATCATTAGACATAAATTGGGTTCTCGAGACTGACGGTCTCGACATGCCGTTTTCCAAATTCGCCTTCAAAATACGGTTTCACTCTTTGTCCATTCACCACAAATAATTCGTCATTCGCGGGATTACGAAGTCTGATTGCGGCCATTGATAACACTTCATCAATGATGTAAGAGCCACTCCACGAGGCGTGGGAACTCTTCTAGGACCTACAGAGGTAGTGTCCACACCACAACTTCCCACCTGGCTTATTGATGAACAGCTTTTACGATTCTCTCCATCAAAATCTTCAGTACATGGTGGACAACGCGGCTGGTGGAGATATTGGGGCAAAGACAGTTGAAGAAATGATGGAAATTTTTGTGACGATGAGTGCTAACTGGTCTCAAAAAAGAAATCGAGGAAAGAATGCGATGGTGAATGAGATATCTCCCGGACAAGACATGATAGCTCATCAAATGTCCGAGCTCATGGAGCAAATGAGGCTACTTAATGCAAGATGCGTTCAGCCGACGCAAACTTTGGCAGTAAAAGCATGCCGGACGTGTGGAGTCCAAGGGCACAGATCCGAGGTGGTCCCGTCGGCCTTTGAGCAAGACTTCGGGGAGCAA